TCATTATGCGGGGGCGCCCCCCCCCCCCCCCCGTTTGGGGCTTTTCAGTCTGTAACTCACTTGAAGACTAGCGCATGCACATGCATGTTAATAATTAACTAGAGCTACAAGCAGGCCTTTTCAAAATACCGTTTGCATGCAGTCTGGTATTTACTGTCAATAAAATAGGCTCTTTCTGCTCTCTGTGCCTCCTTCCAAAGTCCAGCGCCTTCACGGAAGAGCACTGTTTACCTTCTTTATCTTAATTTCTGTGTGAGAAAACTGCACTAACATAGTGTTCGCCTGACAGGGAAGAAAACAGTCTGAATTAAGAATGCTTTGGGAACCTAAAATCTTTAGCAGCTGCTGAAAAATAAGCTGCAGTTTCTCATTAAATTATAATTAGTAGTTAATAACTAACTATAGTTAATAACTAACAAATTATTGGAAAACTGAATCTGAAAGTGACTTCATTTCACAGATCTGATACTGCAGGAGCTTTACGGTTTACTTTCAGAGAGGATCACATTGGGTTTAATCGCAAAACCAAGGAGATAAGGAATTCTTTGTGACTTCATTGCTTTACAATGGCCAAGAAATGAGACTCCAAAGAATCCTGTTAGAGCTGTTTGGCCTTCTTGCCTTTCTCCTTTCAGCTGGAGGACATCAGTGATCCCAGAAAGCTGATATCTCTGGAATTCCAGTCTGAAGTATAGTTCAGTTTCGGTAAGTTCAGGTTTCAGGACCATATTGGTAAGACTTGCAGAGTGACACTCACTGTTTTGGCCTGAAAACTGAGCTGCTGTGCCTTCTGCTAATCACTGTTTCAGCTGTGAGCGATGATATGAACACCCAGCTCCTGAGAGCTGCCAGAGCACATCAGTAAAACTGAGGGAAGCTAGCCATAGATGTGCTGTGCTAAAAGGCAGGAAATAAATAAAACACAGATTCAGAAGCATGCATGGAGTACTGCACTGCGCATTGTAAAAGCTCGTTCAAAAGTCCTCGACGTGGACAAGTTTGCATGAGAAATTATCCCGAGTTACTAACAAAAAATACATAGAAACGGAGAA